CCGCCGCCTTCAACCTGACCAACGTGCTCCACAAGTTCTCATCCGAGGAGGACATTTCACCGAAGCCGACCGGGCACATGCAGCAGCAGCAACCACCCCAGCAGCAGCAGCAGCAGCAGCAGCAACCACCTCAAAAGCAACACTCGCGCCACGCCCAGCCACACGCGCAGCATGCCAGCAAGCAGCCCGCGCCCAGACTCCGCAGCGAGCCTAACGTGGGCGCCGTCACGGAGGCCGCGCGCACGCAGGCGCACCAGAGCAACGGGGGAAGTCCCATGACATCGGTGAGACCGTCGCCGGTGGGCACCCCGTACGGGACGCCCTACTCCAACCAGTCGCAGAGCCCCGTGGGCTCGGGCACCGAGTGGAGCAGCAACCACCACCACAGCCCCGTCTCCAAGCACCAGCCCGCCAAGGCCAAGCCGGTGGACGCGCACCAGGAGGCGAGGACGCAGTCCTCGAGGAAGTACGCCGAGACCAGGGTCGGCGACAAGGCTGTTAGCCAGTCCTCGCCGCGCTCTCCCGCCGTCACGTCGCGCAGCCGGACGTCGTCCACAGACTCGCTCATCCTCTCGATGAGCACCGAGGAGCTGCAGGACTCGGGCGAGTCGGTCGTGACGACCCGGCTGCAGATTCCCGTCAACAAGGTGGCGGACACGATCCAGCGCTACCAGGCGCACACCCAGGCGCACAGTCAGGGCCAGGATATCGTCATCGAGCAGCGGAGCCCGTCTGTCTCCCCCAACCCGGGCAACGTGTTGCGGAAGTCCGAGTCGTGGCACCAGCTGGCCGCGCAGACGCAGGGCCTGCCCGTCAAGGGCTCGGGCCGGGCCGAGGGCCGGCCCCTCAGCATGCACGGCGGCAACGGTCAGGACCTCCCGCCCGCCGCGCCCGCGCGCTCCCCAGGCCTGGCCAAAGCCAAGTCCAGCCACAGCCTGGCCTTCCCCAAGCAGTTCGAAGCGGCCATCAAGCCGGACGCGCTGCAGGTCAAGCAGAAGACAGTGGAGCAGTACTTCAAGAAGGCGGACAGCACTGCGGGGGACGGCTTCGGCTCGGGCCCGAAGAGCGCCAGTGTTAATGTGAAGCAGCAGTACTCTAAAAAGAGCCAGCAATCTTCTCTCTCCGTCTCCACCCGCAAAACCAGCCAAACGTACGAGCCTCTCACGCCCGTAGAGGTGCTCCTGGTGGACGACAATCTAGAGAATGTGGACGAGGCTTTCGAGTCACTTTTTGCCGCTAGCGTAGGCAGTGATGGCAGGACTTTGTCGGGGAAGGCAAACTACAAGCAAAGGAGGCTGTCCAATAAACCTAAATTAGGTGGTTACAGTGCCAATGTGACGAGGACTAGCAGTGTGCAAGGGGGCAGTGCCATAAAGAGTAGTAAGTAGATTCCATGTAAAGCCGCAACACAAACTAATTATGAGTTTTAATCAGTTTTGAAATGACTTGAAGGTGCGTTTTAATAGGCTCATGTAAACCAAATGGCTGTACCAGTTTCAGCATACAATAGTAGAAATTAACAGGCAACCAAAAAAAAAAATGTATTTTTTTGCTTTAATTAACTTCCACAGTTTTGTAAACTCATCAGATTGATTACGTAATCCACTCTGTACTTGGAGAGCTTTCAGTATAAAATTAACCACACCTGCAGCAATTCCCCTCATTGAATTCGCTGAACAATATCCCGCGCGGGGCCACTCAATTATGTCCTGTAAAGTGGGACCCCGGAATAGACTGATAGCAGGCAAATTAACACCGCAACTGTTAAAAAGTTGAGTGAATACTGTAAATTTGTTCATTTTGGGATTTGAATGACGCTAGCCGCCTCGGCTCACGCTCAGCTCGACCTGCCGCGGCTGTCTTTGTGTGTAAGTCAGACCCCAGAATAACAGTTGCTGCCAAGTGGCACTGGTCACTGTTGGCGCTGGCACCACCTACCGCTGCTAAGGCTTGGAGGTTTTGATAGCTTGGAAGTGGGAAGCCCTGCGAGTCCCTCTTGGTCCGCCATGAGGGAAGCATCTGTTCGCTGCCTGCCTCCGGGAACTTCTTCTTGTGAGTTAAAATCTCTGCCCTCTTTGGAAGTTTTGATTAATGGTGTGACCCAACAAACCATTAACAACCCTTTGAGTCATCTCATCCGCTACATTTCAGTAATTACGTTTTGCTGTTCTGCCTTTAGTTTAGTGAAACTTAAACTTGCTTGTGCAATATATTAGTTAAGTCCTAATTTATACCCCACTTCGCCAGCGTTTGTTTGTGCCTTCTAGTTAATGAACTAATGAGGATTGCGTAGTGGCATTTAAAAGTTTTCGTATAGTTTAGCTAATTGTTTTACCTGTGACCATATTACTAGTAGAGTTCAAGTAAATGTTGTCTATGTAAATGTCCATTGTGAATGGTATATAGCTTATACCAAATCACTCTTACTTGCTAGATTAGACATATTTGCTCTGTAGTATATTTTAATTTATTTTACTGTTCTATAATGCAACTGTGCTATGGAAATATCATAGAGACCATTTATTTACCATTCCTGTACTCTGAGAGGTGGCATTGTTTGAAAACATCCTGGCTTTTAAAAAATTTCCATGCTTTTGTGTATTTTTAAGTCAAGTTATCAAGATTGAGCTTGTGTTTTCTTTTGTGGCATTTTCCTTTAATGTCTAGTTTTTTGTTTTGGTTTTGTTCCCTGCCAAATGGTCTACTGTTCTTATCATTATTTTTTTTTAAACTTTCGTTCCTTGTTTATGTTGGTGCAGCATTTAATATGTTACATCAATAACATTTGAAAATTTTTCAGTTCAATGTCAAAGTTATTTCTGGATTGCTGTGTTCTCAGACCAACAGACCCTACCATGTTTTAATTTAAGGTGTTGCTGCGTCACACACTGTTGGTTTTTCTTTTGGAAAGATGCCAGGTGTAGGATGCTTCCTGCTTGTTGAGTGTGTGTGTTGATTTCTGTGAAAACTTTTATTCTGTTTTAAGTTACTTTTTTTCTCTTCTCTCCTTATTCTTAGTATCGTATCTGTACATAAGTGTAGTTTGCAGACCCTTAACACATTCAATGTGATTGTCTCTCCATGTATATAAAGATATTTTTTTTGTGTGTGTGTTTAGTAAATTGAAAACTAGAAAATATTGCTTTTAAAAATTAGCTTTTCTGTGTCAGATTTTATCATTAAAATTTGTTATCCTACTTTTCTCATTTAGAATTTTAGGCTTTAGTTTGTTTACATTTTAAACACTGTAGATAAATACAGTTTAAATGGTCATTTCAATTTTCTGCGGGACTAAAGTTTGAGCCAGTATTCAGCTGGATTCAACCCTAGCTTCAAACATCTTTCGCAACATAAAAATAATCTCTGACGTGTTGAGAAAAGAGAATTGTTTGCACTGATATTTAATCTAGCTGTTCAACTTTTTAAAATTTAGAAGTGTTTTTCAACTATTTTTTTTTTATTTTGCAGGGAAGAGCGAGTTGTTCAAAAGTTCTACCTCAACTGACGGCAGTAGCACAACACATACTGAAGGTACAATTTTGTTTTTTTTTGGTTTTTTTTATGAGTTTATATATATTGACATACTATTTACACAGAATATCTTGTTTTCAGTGAGAACCAAGACTTCTCATTTTACCTCCACCAGCAGCATGGCTTCAAATAAAGGTTGGTGAGGCCAAAATCATAAATTTTGTTTTTACTGTAAGTTTTCAAAGAACTGCTCTTTTTGTAACGTCCAAAGGATTTGGAACCTTTGTAATACAAACAAATCTTTTGTATTACTAAGGGCTTGGCTTTGTAATTTGAAGAACACATGTCTGTTCACAAACCAGTGCTGGTTGCAATATGAAGGAAATACGTTTGTAAAAGGGTGGTTCCAGATCCTTCGAATGTAATATGAAGACTACTCTTTGTTTGGAGAGCTTAGTGTACTTTTACTGTTCAGCCAATCGTAAAGTGTTCTAATTTTATTTCTACTCTTTAGGTGGCCCTCCTAAACCCATTTCCCCATTTGCTAAATTCCAGCAGCTGGATCGTCAGAGCTCCTCAGCTTCAGCTCCTAGGTTTGTACTCATTCATTTTCTGTACTAGACTACGTTTTCATTATGGAAGGTGGATGGTTTTGATCCTTACCAGAACATTGCATGGTGGTCAACCATTTTTATTGGTGATATCTTACCTTTTGAAGTAGGGGTGTACTTACTTTGTTCTCTCCTCTTCTGGAATCATATAACTTTTGCCAGCGGTCTTGCCTTCTGATTTGGTGATTGTTCTCAATTTAAAAGCTGAGGGAGAGTACTAACAAATATGGACCATCAGTAATTTGTGGATATCTTTTGGGTGCGGATCTTATTAATATTTTACATGTTTCTTTAACTCTTGCGGGTTGTTTTGTTTCCAGATTGTAAGATACTATTCTGTACTTTATTTTACTAAACTATTGCCCTACTGCTAAAACAGTTGTGTTATGTATATGGATTGCTAGGGAGACAAAAAGGAAAGATTTTATAGTACAATGGTATTCTGTATATGTATCTACAGGCATTCAAACAAATTGTTCCTGATTAACCCTATGCTATCTTTGAATTTGCTCATACTATTTCTCTTTATAAATACTGTTTTGTTAATACTGATAGATGACTAGAAATCTGAATATTCAGTAAGGAAAATATGTATCACGCCTTAATTCTTAATTCTAATTCTCAGTTGAACCATTTAGTTTCTGCGTTAACATTAATTAATCCATAGGTCATAATTGTCACATTTTCATTTTATGGCAGCTCCCCTAAGACACCGAGTACACCTGGTGCTCCAGGCAGCCCAATATTTAAATTCACCGACCCCAAGTTGGCTCGGTCTGCATCCAGTGTCAAGGACAACTTGCTGTACTGGTGTCAGTGCAAGACCAAGAATTACAAGGTACAAAACAAGTTGGGCTTGTTCAGTCTGATGGAATTCTGCTTGGTAGTGTCAAGTGCATACTACATCACGCACCACATTTCCAAGTTATGTGAGCCTTGTCATTGCTGTGTGCTTGTCCCACTCACTTTTACACTGGTCCACCACAATGCACTTTCCAGTGTTATTGAAATACACCACTGAATGAGTCTTTTGTACCAAGGGTAGGTGAGTTCGCTAAAATGTGTTTTCTGATGTTATGGTAAAGCTTGACCTAAAGCAGCTTTAATGAGAGTTAGGGAGAAGAACTCCTATGTGAACATCAAATTTGGACCATGCGAACATGGGATGGTGGAGAAAAAATTGGCAAAAGAAATCACATTTTGGCCCATTACCTACATGCAACACAATTAATTTTAATATACACCTGTAACAATCGGTCAGAAGAAATTGAATCACAAACAGAAGCGATCCAGATGTTTTTGTAATGCACAAACTGTGTGACATTTTTTTTTCATATCTTTCATGCAGGTTGGGTGTAACATGGATTGCATGGCTTGATTTCCTAATATTGATGGCTTTGAAAACACGTCAACTGTGTAATCTTTCTTGCATGTACTACCTAATTTTATGGGATTGAAGCATGCCTTAGAAGAAAGTCACAAATGTAAAACAATTTCTTAAATTATTTTGTTTTAATTTTATTTAGCTGCGGAAGATTTGCTGGCCTCTCAGATAAATTCTATAGAAAGATTTTTAACTTTACCTCTCTTTTTTCCAGAATATCAAAGTAGAGAACTTCTCAAGCAGCTGGAACGACGGACTTGCTTTCTGCGCACTCATTCACCACTTCATTCCTGATGCCTTTGATTATGATGCTCTTGTGCCTACACAGCGCCGCAAGAACTTTGAGCTAGCCTTTCGAGTCGCTGAGTGAGTAAAATGCAACCCTCAAAATGGTTGTTGCATGTGGACACATGTTTATCATTTGACATAAAAGCAAATAAAATTTGACTTGGGAATGTGTTTTCACAGGGAAAAGGCAGATATTGCACCGTTGTTGGATGTGGAGGACATGGTTGTGATGAAAAGACCTGACTGGAAATGTGTCTTCACTTATGTCCAGTCCATCTATCGGCGGTTCAAGGATGAGGATTAAGCTTCCTTTCTGCACCTCTAGCGCCTCTCGAGCAGTTCTCCTCAAATAACAAAACCGACAATTTCATGTAGCAGATTTTGAAGATGATAGTTCATTCGCATATGATGACAATGCTGCCTATCAGTTTAAGTTGCTGTGATAAACTCAGGCCGTGGATAGCATATTAGTGGTTGGATAAATTCTATCATGTTCAGTAAAATATTATAAACCAGTTTATAAAAACTTCATATTTTGTTTGTGTTCTCACCTTATCAAGACGACTATATGTGTTTTGATTTTATTTGTAAAGTTATTGGAAAAATTCTTGATTTTCTAGTCCTGTTTGAGTTAATGCTTGTTGTAACTTGATTGATTTATCTTTCCAAGCCTATGTTTGATACATTTCTCATTTTCTTTTAATATGGTCTGAAACATGTCAAACTTTGTAACTTCTCAGATCTTGTAAGTCTGCACTGCTGATTTTTCATATTCTGTACCTTACTTGTGTTGTGGGTTTCTGTTTTGTATGCATTATTTATTTTCATGTTACCAGTTGTTTCTAGAACTTTTTTTTGATTTATTTTACTATTCAAGAAGCAGTGAATGAGTGCGCATATACTTTCCCTTCTAGTGTTCATGTAAAAGGGAAATATAATAAAAATCTAGCT